TGCAAATCGCCTAGAAAATGGCAACGATATTTAGATCGATGAAATCCACTTTATAATTCTAAAAACATTTGCCAAACAAGGCATGTCGTGGCGAGCACGTGTCTGCCAAACTCCACAGACAAAGCACTAGCACCCGGCAGAAATGGCATGGCAGTATCCCGCTCTAAAAAGATAGACCACAGGAAGTGCTCAAATTAGCAGGGAACTACTTAACTGTACCCTACCTGGAAAAGTCTACACAAAGGTGTCGCTGGAAAAATGACGTGTCGCGCAAAAACTGACTCCAAAATAAATGAATGGCAGTATGATTTCTTGTCAAGTTAAAGCAAAAGACATTTGTCTAAACTTAGATTGTAGAGAAATCGCGGGAGTTTGCTCATCCATTTTGCCTATGCATTGTGGACCTGGAAAAAGCCCATTACGGTATCTTGCCTCTGAATCTACGAGTATGTTTGCAAACTTATGGGATCGATAGCCATCTAGTCCACATTTGTCGATGACAAGTGCAGTATCAGAGAAAATTCCGCCAATTTGAGATCTTCCAACGTTGGGACTAGCCTCCGCTAGAGGTATGTTTTCTTCCCACTCCTGTTTTTCTTGTATATCGATAGAACAGCCGCTACTTGACGAGTATCAGCGTAGACGATGTAGAAAAGAGAAGAAAACGTTAGAAGACAATTTTGTTTCGTTTTCTTCTTCTAAAACTGATTTCCTGCGCTCTTTGGAAAGGTTTTTAGCCAAGTGCAACGCATCAGTATGCATGTGTACGTGCTGCAAAGTATTAGCCTAATTATTTTCTTTCTCCTGCCCGGTGCATTCTTCAGAAAATCGGTGGAAGATATTGAGAACGTCATCTACCTCGGAGTTGCGTTTATTTATTATGGCAAATGAAAATAAGAGAACAAATGTCGAATTGAAATGGCTAGCGGCGTTCTGAGTGAACTATCCCGAGTAAAGCAGAGCTGAGTCTCAAGACGAAGCTTTCTGTATTCAAGCTCATTTTTATATTGTTGCACACCCACTTGACGAATTATGAATCATTAGGCTCTAAACGTGATGAAAACCTTCAATTCCGAGCGTAAGCGGCTGAAATGACCTTACTCAGACGAATCGTTTGGCTTACACTTATCGAACTTTGATGCACTACAGAATATAAATGTTCGAATAAGCCTTCATGTACAACCGCTGTTTCGCCAGGTTGATAAGTCAGAGCCATGATGGCTTGGGCACGTGAACGGATTCTTTCAGAAAAAAGCGAAACAGCCAATACTTACCCAACTGAAGATCCCGGGGACCGAAAAGGATAATTTAAGACAGGTGCAGCGAAAAGACTGTGTTCAGGACTTCTCGGATCATCTGGCGAAGCTGAAACGTTGACATAGGATCGAAAACTTTGGAGACAGTGTCTGACGCATCTTCGATACGAAAGGATAAGTGGTCATCGACACATAACCTATCAAACTGACTTATGTCGGAGTAGTGAACTGTCAGGGTTTGAGCAATCTGTACTGTAAGAGCTTGACTGACACGCGATTGAAATTTGCGCTGTTAATACCGTGCCATAATCATGCGTCAATCTTCGTATCTAACTCCGTTAAAATTGTTATTCGAGAGAGCGCTCACTGGTGACTACAAATGGTCATAGAAAGCGTCTATGTTGATGCATTTATCGAAATTTCAAGAAGCAGTGAGCGTAAACATAATTTCTCCGTCATTCAGATTACAAACGATGATTGTCTCTGACAAATACTCTGCACAAATGATCGCCCGGCTTTCATTGGGGCACGACGCAATATCGCTTGACCTCTAAAGTCGTCACCCATTGAGCAAGTCAGGCATCCTCTTCCAATGGAGACGAAATTTCGTGACTGCCAGTACATCGAATTTATACTGATGGAGCGGCACAGCAGCCATCAACTAGCTTACTTTAGCCAGACAAGGTGAGAACATCTTAGCATTCAACATGGAGCTTATCTCTTGTAGTGCTCATTGCTAAATTCAGGGGTTTTCTGGTTCCTGGTTGCCTTAAAGCTATAGAGCGATAGCCTCTCGCAACGCAAATAATTTTTGCGAGAGCAACAAATTTACCGCTGCTAGCTTAAAAATCACTCTGACAACTGTTCATCCTGAAATTTCGTTCTTTTTCATGAGGGTGAGGTAGAGCAGATCCTTCCAAAAATGCACCCTGAAATAAATTTATTCACTGAAAGCTACAGTTGTTTATACAATAATCTACTCTAGTATATGTGTGTTTTCCGTGATATAATCAAGAAATATACTTTACGTGAGATTTCCGTACTCTTATTCTCAAATCCATTTACGCATCCTGAACTGATAAAATATTCTGCGACGTCAGGGAATTCTTACCTGACAATCATTTGTCGTGAAGACAGTAAGCTTAATCATAATTTCACGAACGTTCAGGTCGAATATGATATCATCGCGTGCCATGATTCATGTATTAAAATATTCGTAGTATTTTGCTTATGTTGCTATTTTTGGTTTGCAAACTTTCTGAAACTCCGATATACAGAATTTCGCTGTGAGAAGTTCTGTCAAGGGTGTTGAAGTCAATTGAGCCTTCATCCGCTATTTTCTTAAGTTTTTTCCCAGTTATATCCATACTAATACGTTGTAGATGTCTATCAGAACTTTCGTAATTTCTAAAATTCATGGTAATGTCTCGCCTTCTTACGTTCGGGCTAAATTACTAAAAACTAGGAATCTAAGTATGAAGCCTCGAGTGTGAGTTACATTAATACTTCGACAATCGAGAACGTCTTTTCCCAGACAGATAGTCACTTCCTTTAAATCGCTTGATATATTTTCATTGTAAATTGTAATTGGACAGAAACTGATGCGGGAACGCCATGGAAAGAGAACATCACTAGATGAAATCAATTGAAAAGATTAATGGTATCAGTGATGGTATGAGTTGTTGGCTAGTCGTATTTCCCCATGTTCTTTTTTCAATCCTTTTTCTGCATCATTTGTGGTCATTTGATATTAATTGTTAGAAATAAGTGTTGTAACATAGTGAACCATTCTGTTCTTCATTTGTTTATACAAATTTTTACATTTTATTTTGCGATGTCTAGAACTTGCGACAGTCGTGCTGTAGGAGGGATTCATAAGGCGCATTCACTGGACAGGGCTAAACGGAGATGGCATAGGAGGGTACTGTTAACTGATGACTCGATGGTGTAGCACACCTGGTATTGTCGTGCTTTTCTAACCCAGAACCTCTCGCTGCTCCAACCCTTCCTCCTAATGGCCTGCAGAGCCAACTTAGGCGTTAAATCTGCAAGGGGTTTGAGGTACACTAATGTATGGACGTTTCTTTATCATACATTCGTCTGTATAGTTGCTTCTGGTGACATTTTTTGACAAACCGAACCGAGCTTATTGATTAAATTGGAACGCAGTTGTCTTATGCTTTGGATATAGTATACACACTGGGTTGGAGTCGAATTCCGGAAGGAAATATTATTCCATTTAATGATTGGTTTTTACGATTTCTATAAGTGTGTGTAGAAATCATGCATGTTGCACCATGCACATTTTTTCCTTATGCAAACGTTTTCTGTCGTCAGAGGGTAAATAGCATAATCATCACCATTTTCAATTCGAAACTTCCTCAAGACTTTGCCATAAACGGTTTTCTGCGATGTTTTGTACTCTGATGAAAGTGGACAAACGCGCAGAAGACAGCGTAATACAATGTTTTAATAATGCTCACGTCGAGTGTTTGAACGATTTGCCCCTTCGCGTCCCAATCCTTCCACTTGGGATTAGAGTTGGGTAACCTTCTGGAGAGATTGTTTTAAAAGTATGACGAGGATTATGAACGGTCGGCTTTATTAGTCTTCAAAAAAAGCATGGCGGATGATAAAATCTTTCTTTATGCCATCTACCTTTGGTTTGAAAGGGAACGCTCATGGGAAAGACAAACGAAAGATATTGACGACTCTTAATGGATGATATTAGCTGTAGGAGAGAAAATGATGTCCTTTATGTCATTCATATGAGCACCATCTGAGAAATAACCGATTTAGTATGTTGATGACACTGCCCTTACGTTGTCATCCCTATATACCGAGGACGGCATTTGTATTGAAGTAGTTTATTTTATTAAATACTAGTAACTAAGGGCAACATGCTTTGCCTACTTCGTTTTGGCACGCTACCAGTACTTACTGTTGTAGTCAGTTTTCCACGACGTGGAGGTACGAGAAAATTTGTGGGAAAGTTCCCGCCCGAATACGTTGTTTAGAATTTTTAATTTCAAATAAAGTAATTTGCAGTTCCACAGTTTATGTTCCGTTTTACTTATTAACATATTAATTACATACGATTACATACAAATATTAGAATGATATATCACAGATATTTCTTTAACCTTCGGTTGCACGCAGTATCATGGTTTATTCTTCGTTTACGCTTTTTCGATTTTTATGTGTATAACATTTTTCCTTCTGGCTACACGTACTTCAGAATTGTCGCACTTGATGGTAGTTAGGTCGTTGGCTGATTGACGGATCCGATCCTATCTATCGAGCGTTCTACAATCCCTTATGTCAATATGAAGGACTGTGATTTCCTGATAGCCCCGCTTTTCGTCTCAGATTATTAGCACCCGTTGCAGGATGAGTAGGCTAACATCGTTGCAGTAATTTGGATCAAGCAGTATGCCGAGGACTTGAGGGATGGACAGTATTCTACCTTTTAGATTTTTCTTCGTTTGACTGTGATAGTGAGTTTTGGTCGTCCACGTTTTCCATGCATTTTGGTCATACTGTATAATGTATAATAATAATTATGAGTGTTGGATGGAAAAAAACCTGTTCATTTCTTTGTTGTGTAAACCTTACACGGATCATTTGCTCACTCTCCATTGTAAAAACGAGAAATATTGTTTGGAATGGTTCTTATGCAAGATGTCGCTGTAGATTCTTGAACTTTTAGTCCACTGTACTTATACTTTTAGACACTATCCGAAAATGCTGGAGTCAACCGTAGCATCCGTTGAAGACCGAAAGCGCCTTGATCTGCAAATTGCACAATGGCAGTTCCTGTTGATGCAGCCAGAGTACGATGAAGAGGAGAAGAAGAAAGTAAGGTCAAACTTCATGGACGTTGTGATAAAGCAGGAAATGGCACCGTACTACGAATATGCTTGTTCCGAGATGGGTATCGAAGTCGATCAGATGTTGTTGAAAAAACTGAAGGATTCGAACGAGGAGAAACTAAAAAGCTTTGACGCAAAAATCGAGGATGCCGAAAAGAACCTCGGCGAGTCCGAAGTCAGAGAAGCTTACGCACGCAAAGCCGAGTATTTGTGTTCCATAGGAGACAAGGAAAAAGCATTGACAGCCTTCAGTGTCACCTACGCCAAGAGTGTCGGCGCAGGAAAGAAAATTGACATAATTTTCACAGAAATACGTCTAGGGCTGTTCTTCATGGATCACACCCTGATCGCGGCTAAACTAGGATTGGCGCAAGAACTGATGGAGCAGGTAATTTCATTTATAATTGTAGACGTCTGAAGCACACGTTACTTACAATATTTAATTTTGCAGTTAATTAATTTTTGCATATATTTAATAAAGGGGTCACTCACTATAGTAATTGAATTTATTTCAGAAGCATTGTGTTTTAGGGATATAGTTTACCGAAATTATGACACTCATTATTTAGTAGTACCAAATTCTCCTTCTGAAAATAACCCGTTTACGGTCTTCTATACAAGTATGGCATTAGATAGCTTACAAAACATCTGACCACAGTGTCATATCACAGCAGTCGTTGTTTGCTGAGATAATCACTTTGAGTCATTTGCATAAGCAGAACGTCTGTGTTTGTGATATCTTATGCATTTTCAGGTTTTACACCCTTATGATATGGGCTACTGATTACAGCATGACAGAAGGAACAGTTCATCACTGAAAGCAGACCCGTCGTTGTCATGTTCGCATAAATTTACTTTTAAAATCTCATGTGAATTACCATTTTTTAGCGGAGGCTTCCCATGGGATGGAGTGTGCGCAAATGACAAGAGACATGAATGATAGGCATATGACTTGTTGATGAATTAAGTTTGCAATACTATATATTAGCATTATAGATGTATAATGAGGTAATAGGCACTTCTATTCTTCAGCAGCATACTGATTTTCAGGCAACCTGACAAAAGTTCAGGCTCCCTAATGCGCAAGCCAACTGCGCTAGTAGGAACGTCACGTCTTTAGGTTTATGCCTTCTTGAAGCGTATCATTTCTTTCTCTCACCAATCTTCCACAGTGTGCTGTGGTTCCATGTTGCTTGCAAACACTACTACTGCTTTTTTATGGTAAAATCAACCCTTTCAGCTAATGGCTTTTGAAAGTAGTAGTGATTGCCAAGGTGATTTTACAAATGAATATTTCAACTCTCCAATATGGCATTTAACTGACTTCTTGATGCCACAGCAAATGGTGAAACATCTATGTAGATCAGTATTTATTGTAAGTTCTGTATTTTTACATGTAAATGCGTTTATGCTTATTATCCGTTCCCATGAACTCTGTTTCAGGGTGGTGACTGGGATCGAAAGAATGCGCTGAAGGCATACGAAGGTCTCTACCGCATGTCAATCCGAGATTTTAAGAAAGCTGCTAATCTGTTCTTGGACGCCGTATCCACTTTCACCTGCTACGAGCTGATGAGCTATGAAAAGTTGGTGTTTTACGCCGTCATAACCTCAATGATAGGTATTTGTAACGGGCTTGCTTTGTTTTATTTTGATAATAATCATAGAATCCTAGCAAACTTTTGCATGACTCATGCATGCTTTGTCTTTACTTCCAAAATACTGTGCCAGGGCTATCCATTAACAAGATTCAGGTCAGATAATCAATGTATTAAATAAATAAATAAATAAGTCTTGCAATTTGAAGATGTGAATGAAGTTGAGGTCATTTGAACAGTGATTCAACGATAAGCAGTCAGGACAAGATTTTTGTAACGGCGTTTGCTATGTTTCAGCTTCTCAAACAGCTCAAGGTACGGAAGCGACAATAATGCTTACAGAAAAAGAATAACAGCACTAAATTGAAGAGAAAGTGATTGTGCAAAATAAAGAACGAAGAATCAGTAATATTTGGCCTCTAATTCTTCATTTAAATATAAATAATACTTTTAGTTATATATACACCAGACCTGGCAGGCATTCCTGTCAGAACTATTGTATGAACCATTCCACGCCTCGAATAAAAATAACGGTAATTGAGCGTTACTAGTTGCACGCTACTCAAACTGTTCGAATTACTTTACTAGCTGTAGAAAATGCCTGAGGTCTATTGCTAAGCGCACCTACAACAGGCCCCTTTATCCGACGTTTTATTGGCTTCCCATCAAGCATGAATATGTTTTTTTCTTTATTGGATCGTTTACATCGTTTTTGTTTTACATAGGAATTAGCTGAATTTCGATTCCGGTGTTTTTATTGGAGCAAATTTTTACTGGAGGCAGGAAAGAATTCTTCTCCTAATGTGTTTATAATATTCTTGGCACCGTGATGATGGGACAAATTGCGTCGGTCACATCGAAACTAGAAAAATTTGTCCTCTGAGTTCTATAAACGGCAATGATGGTTTATCAGTTAAAAAAGATTCAAGTCACATTACTACGACCTTTTCATGATCAAAGTCACGAGTATTACTTCTCCTCAATGTAAATGATGTATAATTTGCATATTGACATTCGGCATAGTACAAAATCACCTGATTATCGCTTGTGTAATAGTGGACCGCAGTTACAGACAATTATCAGTACAGAGGTAAACGGTATGATTCTTCGAACCTTTAGCACTTTTCTGCGTTTTCGCTCAGTGCTTTGTTTGCCCATACCTTTGCCTGAAACGTACTGTTCTAACCTTTGTTTTCAGCTTTCTATTTTGTTTATTTATTTTAGTTTCATAGTGCTGTTGAAGTCTTTACTGCGACTTTTTTAGCCTTGGAAAGAAATGAGCTTCGTGACCGAGTGGTGAAGTGTGCGGAGATAATCGAACAGTTGCATGGGCAAGCGGAACTCCGTCAGTATCTCTTCTCGCTGTATGAATGCGACTATGCTGGCTTTTTCCGTGGTCTGGCAAATATGGAGACAAAACTAAAGTTCGACCGATTTCTCTCACCGCACTACCGATTTTATACCCGCAGCATGCGGGCGAAAGTCTACAAACAGTTGCTGAGTTCGTACCGCAGCCTCACATTGCAGTACATGGCCGAGGCTTTTGGAGTAAGCGAAAAGTTTATCGACAAGGAACTGCACCAGTTCATCGCCAGCGGTATTCTGCACTGCAAGATCGATCGAGTACGGGGCGTGGTTGAAACCAGTCAACTGGATAGTAAAAATTGGCAATACGAATCAATAATTAGGGACGGTGACGTTTTGCTGAACCGCATACAGAAATTAAGTCGTGTAATTAACATGTTGAAATAGTTATAGTAATTTATATCTCGCTGTCATTTTCTTTCACTCAGTAAACCAATCATATCTGCTTTCGTCTAGTTTTCTTGATGGTCCTTGAAAATCAATAATTATTTGCTTCCAATCATTTGTTTTTCTTATCGTTATATATTGCGGTTACTTTTATAAATAACGTTTTTTTTATCATGACGGTGTATTCGTGTTCGGATGACGTACGGACGCCAGGAAATTTTAAATTACAGTCCGGAAGTGGCCTACACTGAAAGTAAGCATCATTGCAAATGAATGGATCATAACTAAATAGTAATATATTAAAAATATATGTTGATTAATTTCATTTCCTCGTCTATGGAAGCTCTGTAATCGATCCTTTTTATCAAAGGTATATAACAGCATAGAAATAAGTAACCGAACAGGAGGCAACAAATGCAGCGGGAAAAGTGGAGCTGTCGCTTTTGTTGATTGTGCCCATGCTCGATCAGTTGTCGTGGTCATATACGATAAACACATCCGTAATAGCAATTGTGCACGCTGGTAATGTCTGATCGTTTGAAATGACGTGTTGGAGGTTTATTAGGTTTTCAGAGTTTTCCTCTAAATTGCTTGTTCTCACACTGTGGGAAGGAACAGACGACTATGCACTAGGCTACGGTACCGATATACTGAGATGCAAGGTCGTTATGGATCATGCTCCTCATTCAGCAGTGGTTACAGACTCTCTTAAGTGGTCGGTTAAGTAGTTAAGTAATAAAAGAGCAATACATAATAATCGTCGTCAAGCTTTTTTCATCAGACTTTTGTAATAAGATTTCTTCAAGATTTTGTCATCAGAATCGCTTTGCTACGACTCTTGTTTTCATTGTTCAGTAAGTTTTTGCCGTCTACCTGTGGGTATTTCAGCGGACAGCTTGATGTCTTTTATCAAATACCAGATGTTTTTCAGTTCATTGATAAACTTTTCTATCTCTTTGTTTCATTTCAATGTGTTCAATTCGTTGCCATTTTATCTTTTGCCTTTTTGCACCGGCACTGCACTGCGTACACCTGTCTTCTGTTTGTGCTCTTTTCTTTTGGTTGGCCTTGTTTCTTCTTGTTATTCGAACCATGCGCCTTTCTATGCCTCCTCGTTTTTTACGATATAAAACAAGTAATACAATGTAATACGCAATACTCCACTAACATATTCCGTGTATGATAATATACAATTGAATATTTTTGGAGGCCTATAAATATATAATTTGCTTTAGCTGAGATGTCATGATCATGGCTGCAAATTCTGAACTTGAAACATCCTCTTCATGCGAAATGTGGTTGCTTTCTGTGCGTGTCTAGGAATTTAATTATCAGCACAACTTTTTTCGATTAAATCGTAAAATGTGATCGAACAAATACGTCGTTTGCGCATGTGCGATAGAAAATACTTACATTCAATTGACTATTGTCACATGATCTAATAAACTGATTGAATTAGATATTTGACATTAGGATTGTGGGCAAACGAATTTCTACTACTTTCAGCTACATGCGGTAGACCAGGAAGTTTAACTCGTTTCTGAAGAAGCTGGTTCGAAGAAATGTAGCTAAACTAATTTACATTTGGAGAAAGATTAAATAAACCTATCTAAAAACGTACGTATGTTTCAGAGAAGAATTAGAATTGGAGAATTCTAGGTCGTTGGCTGATAGTTATTCTGTCAGCAATGGCTTAGTCTGGAAAAGGATATCGAATCCGGAACATAATGGTAATTGTTCCAGTTTTCAGAGATATCGCTGGCATCGATGTAGCACTGTTTATGCGAGCTGCATTTTTATCTCTGTCCTATAATGTTGTCCAGTTTTTGCATGACGTGATAATGTTTAACGGTTGCTCAAGAGATCTACTTAAAGCGGAACAGTCTTAAACAGATTTAGTTATGTGTTATATAACATCTGATAACCTTTATCTATATTATATGTTAATTAAGCGAATTATCAAATGCCGAGATGTATTTGTCTTTGCTGAAAGTGGCCTCTCTCTGCATCTGACCGATGCATAAACTTCCATACTTGCCTCCTACTTGCATTAATAGACGTTTAGCAGATGTGCATCCTTTGAATGACAAAGTGCAAAATATTTCGGTATTGAAATGCCATATCGCAACACGGAAACTACGAATGTTAGAAAACATGATTAGTTAATGTTATTTACCATTTTTATAGCTGGTATAAATGCAATAGTTATAGGCACGAAAGAACACGGATGTTGAATTCTTACTGGCGAAGTTGGCTGTTTTCAGTGCAAAACCATTTCTGTGTGTTCCATTAAATATTCTTTCTTTACCGTGAATTATGATGCTATAACTAATTATGGTATATTGAATATTTGCATTGTATATTTGTAGTTGGGCTTCATACTCAGTCATCTGGCTTGATTTTTTGGAAATGCTTTTACGGTAGTGTTGGTGGACACCGTTTCATCAGCTTTGTAATTTATCTATTTTTGACAAGTACTTTAAGATCAGCAGCTCAGTAAGTTTTCCGATTATTCGTTGTCGACTTTGCTACTTACTGGCCAAAGTTTATCATAGCGGTTAGACTATCGCTGATCCAAGATTTTGCCCATTTTGTGTCTTGCTCGCAATGATCCATCGTACGAGTCAAGTCCACTTCCTAGCCAGTGATTGGTAGCAGTCGAATTACCGTTGTTGCCTGATTCTCATTCGCTTCGAATTGCTTTGTGACCAATCGAATCAATGCGTTGTTTGGTAATGAATATCTTTGATGGCGGCGTCTGGCGTCAGTTACTTTTCTCTTCCACACCTAATTTCATTTTTTCGTCATATATCGTCGAATTTCAACCGTTGCTGCTCGAACGACGCGTCTCCGGTTCCTCTGTCCCTCAATAAAAGGCTCATTAGCGATCTGTTCCGCATTCCCGATCCTCCTGCCACAGCGACTAAATTTGCTAATTGACCTCTTACTGGCTTCAGTTTTTGCGCATGCAAATTATACAAAGTGGCTCTGTTACTTCGGAAATTGAATTAATTAACTCTGCGCCACGATTGTTGGAGCTACCATCTACCTGACAAAGCGTCAACAGATCACCTTACAGTAAGAATGCTGTTTAGCTGCGCACTGAAAAGTAAACATTTGAGTCTGTTCGGTATAGCATATATTACTGTAGTAATCCATTCATAATTCAACTTTGACTGATCAGCAAAAAAATTTTGTGGCGCATAATTTTGTCGTATGCGCGGTTCTCCGCCATCACGTTCCAAGCGCAAAAATTTGGCAATGGAATGGATTAACAGACGTAACTTCTACATTCTGCGACTCCAAGAGAAGATGGACCGGTTCTGTGGCTAGCCTAAGAGATGACCAATGGACATCAGGAATTACACGCTGGCATGCGCTGGACCACCAACCTTTAGTCGGTCATCCAAGAACATGCCGGATGATCTGATCGTAAAATGACATATTCAGCGGTGAATGCAGATTACGAAAAATAACGAATATGGAAAGAGCGGGAATTGTTCGATTATGACTCACCCATAGCGATCACAATTCGGACAGAGGACATTTCTTGTCGTATGATTTAGGTATAGTTATACAGTATGTTAGTTAAAGTTATGTAATAGATTTAAGATTTAGTCTTAGATTAAATTGAGCTGTTTTTTCATTTGAAATTCAAGTCAGTAAAGCGCCTGCGTTTTCGTGGAAGAGTCTTGTAATTCGGTAATAGTCGATCAAACTTAAGTTGAAAATCTTTGAAGAGGCAGTGTTGCAGACAATCCGGATACTGCCCAATTAGTCTCGACGTTGTAGTTGCCCCGAACCTTGACTTCTGACAAAATGGCTACTATCGACTTTCTTTCTCCGTAAATTCATCAGTTCATACCGTTTCTTTTAAGGCCATACTCGGTAAGCATTCATGCTCAACGGAGAAATAATCTACTCAAATGCAATAATGGCAGTATAAATACCAAATATAATGCAATTCAATCAAGTCTGTTTTCGACCAGTCTTGAGGCACCTACAGATATGTGAGCAGTTGAATTGGAATTGTGGCCGAATTTAATGGCCTTTAGGAAAATGGTTACTAAGGAACGATGGCTATAAGTAAAGTCTGGTCTTGAGGGAGTGACACGTTATTTGGCATACTTGGGCGCTAGACCTTGTCTTTCAAATTTTGTCCTAGAATTGGTGGTAAATGGGGTCCACTCGCAAGCTAAGTCATTGTTTAGGAGTATAATTTCAGCCGTGTGGACAGTGACATCGTTATCAGTGATAAAGTCTATAAACTATGAGTTATCATATGCGCAACGGATCATGAACAAGTGCTTCCGGGACTTCAGTTGATGCTTGAGAGGCCACAATCTGTTTCCGTAAGTGGAACTTTCCGCACTCTTAGCAAAGTGGATTCATATCTGAGGTTCAAGTGCATTCTCACTCACAGGGATTTAATGTAATTCTTTTGAACACCATGACTGTCTTTAAACATCTGCCTAGACACGTAACAGTGCTCCTCGTT